TGCCTGGCTGTGTTGCCTTTCCAGCAAATATCAGGGTGGTTGAAGTCCCCCATGAGAACCAGGGCCTGTGATTGTGAGGCTATTTCCAGCTGTCTGTAGAAAGCCTCATCAACTTCCTCTTCCTGATCCAGTGGTTTGTAGTAAACACCCACAAGAGTGTCTCCCATATTAACCTGCCCCTTAATTCTTACCCATAAGCTCTCAACATGTTCTTCATCCACCCCTAGGCAGAGCTCGATACATTCCAGTTGCTCTCTCGCATAGAGAGCAACTCCACCATCTCACCCCGCTGGCCTGTCTTTCCTAAAAAGTATGTAGCCATCCATGACAGCATTCCAGTCATGCAAGTTATCCCACAGTGTCTCTGTAATTGCAATGAGATCATGGCCCTGTGACCGCACACAGATCTCTCGTTCTTCCTGCTTATTCCCCATGCTGTGAGGTAATTGAGCATGCAGGTTTCCCTGGAGGAGTGCAAGATGATCCACCATAGCCATACACACCCTTGAGGTGTCTGGCCTTCTTGGGAGTCAGCTAAGGAACATTTATCGGTGCTCTGGTTGGCCTGGCTTATTCCCCAGTTGGATGCGATGGCATGAGCATTGCCATTTTGGACCCCACCTGCCAAGTTTACTTAAATAGCTTTTGTTCCCAGAGGATTATTTAGTGATCTCCTTTCTGTTAGATATTTATTGCTTCAAAGAAATGGTCTCAGTGTCCTTGGAAGTGGAACTTTCTTGGGAATGATAAGTCTCCAAACACTTAACCTAGCCAATAATAAGATTTTATAGAGATCAGATTCAGCATTTCATCATCTTAAAACCCTTGCATATTTGTTCCTTGAAGGTAACAGAAAAATCTTGAAATACTTTCTTTGTCTCAGTCCCATTGGATCAATACATCCTTTTGCATTTAAAGGACTTAACAAGCTTAGATATGTCTTTTAAAAGTGTAAAGCTAAAACATATTGTTTTAAAAATAAAACTTATTATTTTTGATAATTTTTGCTGCATACCAAATGAAGTTTTGTCCCATAACTTAGGGAAACCGGGTAGTTATAAAACCAGTTATAACTTTATGCTGTTGTTTTTTCTGTTGGTGCTTTGGATTATATACAGTTCAAGGGGGGAACTGCATAAATGCTGCCTTACACCTGGCTTAAATTTTAGTATTTATTTACATGTTGGTTAATTAAAGTAACCTCCTTGAATAGATTGACCATAATTAGCCCTGCAGCAGATGAAAAGGCTATGCCTTCATTGGGTCAAACACCTTTCTCCTCTGTCATGGTTGGGAAGCTTGGGGTTCTATGCCCTTCTCACCCTACAGTCATGTAAATTCTCAAGGTTAGGGGCAAGTATTGTCGTTTTAGGTATTGAGGGGGTATTCAGTCTGGCCTTCAGCTCAAGCTGGGGAAAGGTGCTTATCTCTTTTAACTCAGAGTGATACCTACCAGCCCTTTGCAGTTGTCTTAAATACCCTAGTGTTTCAAATGGCAGGAGATGGCTGTGTTTAAGCAGAGAAATCCTACCCCCACATTTCTCTCTAGTCAGGGAAATTGCTTGTGTGCTGAACTGGGTGCAGACATTTTTCACCCTTTATAGGGAGTCATTTAACTGCTTAGGAGGGTGAAGAAATACTTGTAAGACTGGACAGAGAAAAGACAGAAGTGTACCATCTTTATAAGCTGCCCTTTGCTCAAGGGTTTGTGTGTAGATTTTGCATTGAACAGTGATGGGAGAAAATGTGTAAACGTGTTAGGAATAGAAGGCGGTACCATGACCTCCCTACTCACAGGAGCATGCCTTCCTGTGATGGAGAGAGACTTCACTGTAAGTTTCAAACTAACAATTTATTTGAACTTCACTCACAGGTCTAATACGCCACTATTGTAGGTTTTATGGATACAACAGAGGAATGCACTATTGCAATTTAAAAAGTGATTCATAGGATACATAATTGCAACCTACAAGTGATTCCCAGAATGTACTAACACAAACCACAAGCACACTAGATATTAATACCTTAAAAGAGTGCACTATTTGTGATCTTAAAGCAGGCCAAATACCATACATATGTTTCTTAATCACTTACCTGTGACAAGCTCAGTATTGTTTGTTCACCAAACCTAAAAACTCTCATTGTTACAGTGTTTCATGAAAGGCAGCTGCTTGGCAGGATGGGGCAAGATAGCCAACATCTGCTAAGCAAACAAGGCTAGGCTGCAAGGTCGAGTTATGCTAACATCATAAATTGTGAAAAGGCTTGGGAGGAAAGGAAAGGGGGAGGCTCAGTCAAGTCCTGCTAACATCATAAATTGTGATAAGACTTGGGAGGAAGGGAAGGGGGGAGGCTCAGGAAGACATGGAGCCTTCATCCCTGCGACCACCAAAAAGCAAAGGAAGAAAGAGGACGACCCCCTAGCAACAAACCGCGCAGACGCAGAGTACACCACTAAGAGAAACGC